GAACTTGCGAGCATTGGCTTGCATTAGGCCAGGCCTATGTCTAGGCAAACCCTCACTCTGATCTTGTAAATGACTTGGTGGCTTGCGATTTGGCGATGTCTACAGTGGTGAATAAAAGGCCTTAGATACAAGATTAAATAAAAGAAGTCTTTACATGGAGATTGGTGAGACTGTATCCGCCTACGGGGAAAAAATCTATAAGACCGTAACTAAGAGTACATGAAAATAGCAGCCACAACAGCATGCTCTATTTTCTAATGCATTCATGGAGACACCTTCTCCTCGAATGTGATATGGCAAGGGCTAAGGAGTGTCTGTTCTCTTGTGGATTCTAACCTAGTTTCAGTCTTTCAGGCTTTTAGGAGTGACCTGACATCACTACATCATATGCTAAGCTATGGTTATTTGAAATGAGCTCTAAACTATCATAGACTCATAGGATGATTTCGTAAGGACAGTGGTCACACTATGGGTAGTATACGGTGGGCACGACGAGGAATTCATGAGGGAGTTTCAATCGCCTCTATCGACCCATGTTTTAAAAATAGATATCTGAATGGGCTAGACGTGTTAACAGTAAAGAAATTACAAGGCATTAATGTTGTTCTAGATCGAAGTTTTCGAACACTAGGTGGTCGTTGGACTAGCGTGGACTCGGAAAGGGGACCTTTTGGGAGCGAATGTCGAACGAAAGGAAAACGGCGAAGAGAATTCAGGTGTAGAAAGAATCATCATTGATCATCCTTACAACAACCCCCCAAGGGTTCTATTTATACACATCCGTAGGTTTTACATAGAACCGAATTGCCCCTGCACTTACTCAGATACAAAACATATCCTAAACAACTAGGGTCAATTTGGTCTAAACGGTCAATATCGCCCATAGTCGACACCGTCCCTAGTAATCACCTGGCCTCCGCCCTGGTCGGCTGTCTTCCGCCTCCACGGGCGCCGCCGTGGACCCTTGGGATGACTCCTTCGCTTCGCCTCCCATTTCGTCGCGGCATCCTTGTCTCCACACACAACCCCGCTTGCTGCCGTGACAAAACCAAGAGATCACCGGTAGACAACGAATACTCATACAATGCGGCGAAATGGGACTTGAGTTCACTGGACGGCGACTGCGGATTGCGCCCATGGTACTGCTTTTATGTAAAGCGGTGAGTACCCTCGCCTCCTCGCTTCTTTGCACTTCATGAGCTCTCGTGGCGCGATGGCGAAGCGAGCCGCCCGTACTAGCGAATTCGCCGCCTCACCGAATAGCTAAAAGACTAAGTGCTGGGGCAGCGGAGGGCGACGAGGGGGTGGCGAAGAAGGTTGTCTCTCCCTCTCCCCCCCCCCCCCACACACACCCCAACAATTAAGATTGATGTGAATACAAGATAGGATGAACGCCTTCGAGTAAAGGAATGGTGAAAATTCATGCGGGCGGAGGTATTGCATAGAATGGAAATTGTGGAGCATCATCAGTAATATGCCGAGATGAACAAGGGCAATTATGGGAGAATCTACCATTGCTCACTCCCCGGGCGGTGCTTGAAGCGGTGCCATATAGCAAAGCTCTTATGCTTGCAATGGTGGTATCTAATTGCCTGGAGGTACTCTGACAATGCCGCAACAGAATGATAGTCGTCTACTAGCTAATTCTGACGGACTTTCATTTCAAATTTATTTGTATACTAAGTCAAATTTGTCTAATTTGATTGTTTAAAAAAAAATGCTAACATCTATAATGTCAAATAAATAAATTAGCAGGATGTATTTTATGGTGTCTCATGAATCTTGTTTGATGATGTAGATCTTTGTACATTTGAGCCACGGAGGAACACCGCATCTATTGATTTCTTGTTCTTTCACAAAGCAAGCCACAAAGACGGCCGCAGGCAGTGCCAGTGCCACAGTCTTGCTGCCCTCCCGCGCCTGCGGCATGGAGCATGGGCGCCCGAACACCCTGGCGTCCATCGCGGTCATCGCGTTCGGCGGCTGGCGGCGGCCTCTGTGGTCCGGCAGCTTGGGAGCCGTGATGACTAGCGACTGGCGAGGCCATCGTTGTCGGGTCTCCGGTGCGGATCCTCTCCCCTTGTCGGTTGTAAAAAAAAACATTGTCGGGTCACGCCGTCGCGCGGTGCCTCTTGCCTCTGTGATCGTGAAACCTTCTCGTTTTTGTCATGGTACACATGAACCGCGGTTCTGTGCTTGTGCCCGGTTTCTCCGTAGACCCTGGGTCACCATCTTCCAATCTTACGAAGTGAACAGTGCTATGTCATTTGCTTATTTGCATATGCATAATGCATTGTGAATAGTGCTATGCCATTTGTTGAATTGCACATGCATTGGGCAAAGTTTGAATGCTTGTAGAAGGAATGCTTCGGTTGTGGAGAAATTGAATTCATTTTTTTTCCTTCCCAACCATTAAAAAACCCCCAAATATTCTTCGCAAAGACGAATTCATACACACAGAATCAGTATTCGATCATTGCTCAACGTGTCCGTACGCAACGCGTACGGCATAGTTACCACGCGACACACGGCCAACTGCCGCCGCCGCCGCCTCCATGAGAACGCACCACAGGCTTCTCTTCCACCACCTCCGCCGTCGCCGAACCTCCAAGCCCTACACCTCGGCAGCTCACCTCGCCGCCCCCTTCTCCTTCCCCTCCAGCCCCGCCGCCGCCTCCTCCTCCTCCTCCGGCCTCCGCGAACTCGACCTCCTGCACGCGGGCGAGCTCGCCCCGACCCCTCGCCTATACCACTCCATCATCACCGCGTGCGCACAATCTAAGAACCTCGCCGGTGCCCGTGCCATCCACGCGCACCTGTCCCGCTCCCGCCTCGCAGGCGATGCCTTCCTCCTCAACTCGCTCATCCACATGTACTGCAAGTGCGGCACCGTGTCGGACGCGCGCCACGTGTTCGACGGAATACCCAGCCAAGACGTGGTCTCATGGACCTACCTCATCACCGGGTATGTGCAGAACGACATGCCGGCAGAGTCCCTCGGGCTTCTACCCGACATGCTCAGGGCGCGGTTCAAGCCCAGCGGGTTCACGTTCACCAGCCTCCTCAAGGCAGCCGGCACCTGCGGTGGCCATGGCATTGGGGAGCAGATGCATGCGCTCGCTGTGAAGTACAACTGGGATGAGGATGTCTATGTGGGGAGTGCACTTCTGGACATGTATGCACGGTGTCAACAAATGGACATGGCCATTAGGGTGTTTGACCGGCTGGACTCGAGGAACGAGGTGTCCTGGAATGCGCTGATTGCTGGGTTTGCAAGGAAGGGCGATGGAGAGACCACGTTGATGAAGTTTGCAGAGATGCAGAGGAATGGGTTTGGGGCGACACACTTTACGTACTCGAGCGTGTTCTCTGCGCTTGCTCGTATAGGTGCTCTTGAGCAGGGCAGATGGGTGCATGCACATATGATTAAGTCTGGGCAGAAGCTAAGTGCCTTTGTCGGAAACACTATGCTTGGCATGTATGCAAAGTCCGGGAGCATGGTTGATGCTAGAAAGGTGTTTGATCGTATGGATCAGAGGGATCTAGTTACTTGGAACACAATGCTCACTGCATTTGCACAGTATGGTCTTGGAAAAGAAGCGGTTGCTCATTTTGAGGAAATTAGAAAATGTGGCATCCAGCTTAATCACATCACCTTCCTTTCTGTCTTGACAGCTTGTAGTCATGGAGGCCTGGTTAAGGAGGGAAAGCACTACTTTGACATGATGAAGGACTATAATGTGCAGCCTGAGATCGATCATTATGTTAGCTTTGTTGATCTTCTTGGTCGAGCTGGCTTATTGAAAGAAGCTCTGATCTTTGTGTTTAAAATGCCCATGGAACCAACAGCTGCTGTTTGGGGAGCCTTGCTTGGGGCTTGCAGAATGCATAAGAATGCTAAAATAGGGCAATATGCAGCTGATCATGTCTTTGAACTTGATCCAGATGATACTGGTCCACCTGTGCTGTTGTACAACATATACGCTTCTACAGGTCAATGGAACGATGCTGCTAGAGTGAGGAAGATGATGAAGGCAACTGGTGTAAAGAAGGAGCCTGCATGCAGTTGGGTCGAGATTGAGAATTCGGTGCACATGTTTGTGGCAGATGACAATACTCATCCCAAAACAGAAGAGATATATAGGATGTGGGAGGAGATAAACATGAGGATTAGAGAAGCAGGGTATGTCCCCAATACAGATCATGTGCTTCTGCACATAAATGAGCAAGAGAGGGAGACGAAGTTGCAGTACCATAGCGAGAAGATCGCACTGGCATTTGCACTGATCAACATGCCTGCAGGGGCAATGATTCGGATCATGAAGAACATTAGGATATGTGGGGATTGCCACTCTGCATTTAAATATGTCTCCAAAGTATTCAAAAGGGAAATTGTTGTGAGGGACACTAACAGATTCCACCATTTCAGCAACGGCTCTTGTTCTTGTGGAGATTATTGGTGATCGTGGTGATTTTGAATATTGGTGAGTTGTAAGGATCACCTACTCTTTCATGCTTCCACAGAAGTCACGATTGGCGATGGCAAGAAGGCTAAGTTCTGGCATAACAGCTGGCTACAGAGAGCTGCACAAAGGGTCGTTGCTCCACAATTATTCAGCCTTGTTAAAAGGAAAAACAAAACAGTGGAGCAGGAGCTTCTAATAACAACTGGATCAAGCCCTTCTGTGGGAAGATCACAACAGCCACACAGCTTGAAGAATTTGTTTTCCTCTAGATCCGCATTCATCAAATTAACCTTCAACCAGGTGTCGCAGATCGCATTGGATGGAAGTACTCAGCAAAATCAGCTTATGATGCACAATTCTAGGGCACCTTCGTTTTCTTCAAGCTAAGCCTAATTTTTTTTTTTTTTCGATCAATTAGGGGGAGCAAGGCTCCACCTACTTATATTAATCAAGTGAGCTGTGAGAAACAGCTCGAGCATACACCTTACAACCCGGCATACCAGGCGAGAGATTACAAGAGGGGGGGATGGGGGACTAGACAGCAGCAGCATGGGGGAGGCGTTCCTGGACATAGGTTTGCCAGGCAGCAATATGGCTCTTGGCCCTTCGGAAGCGGCAGGCCCATGATCCCAAGTCCCTGGCAACGTCTCTGATGATGGAGGCCGCGGTGTTGTTTTCTTTGTTGAAGATGAGCGTGTTTCTGGCTTTCCAGATGTGCCAGAGAACGGTGAGCGTGACGTCCATTCGAACTGTGGCGGGAAGATCAATCTCCTGTCCGATGAGCCAAGGGAGTCTCTGGAGCCCTGCAGAAACACAGCAATGAAGGGCGTCCCAAACCTTCCTTGCGCGAGGACAGGCAGTGAAGATGTGGTCGCCTGTTTCCAAGACACCATCACACGCAGGGCAGAAACACTCCTCCAGGGGTTTAATGTTCTTCCAGAAGAGGTTGGCTCGGGAGTTCATCCTGTCAAAATGGACCAGCCAGCCAAAAAACTTCACTTTGCCTGGGAGCCGGCACTCCCAAATTAGCTTGGGACCAAGGAGGACTGGGGCTTCGGAGTGGAGGGCCCGTAAGTGCCGCAGCTGGTGAATGGGGGGGGAGGAGGGCAGGTTAAGGAGCCTGCAGTCCGGGTAGTCAGTTAGCTGCACCGAAGAGAGCAAGCGGCGCAGTAGGAGAAGCTTGTCCTGAGCCTGATGGGTGAGGCGTGGATGGAGGAGAATTTCCACGCCCTCGGACAAGGTGTGGTGAATGCTGGAGTGGGGTCGGAGGCAATGGGAGTAGAGGGCTGGGAAGGTGGTGGCCAGGGGCTCGGGGCCCAGCCACTTGTCAAGAGCTAAGCCTAATTTGGAAGGCAAGAGCTGAAAACAAATGCAAATTCTTCACTTGGACTGCCATACAGGACAGATCCTCACGGCGGATAATTTGGCAATCCATGGTTAGCCTCATCAATCCTGCGTTCTTTGCCATGGTCCCTTGGAAACTGTATTACATTTATGCCTGCGGTTCCCTTATGCACAATTGATCTGGTCAGAAATCCTAGCCTGGGAACAGATTATTCTGCCTCGTACTTTGCACCAAAGTAATTCTGAATCGATTGTGAATTGGTGAGAGATGGCAGTGAACAGTCTGCCAAAAGAGCAGCGATGATCCTTTAGCGGCATCGCAGTTTACGTCATGTGGAATATTTGGAAGGAAAGGAATCACCGCATCTTCCAACATGCTAATTTACTACTGTCAGATGTTGCTGCAATGGCAAAGGAAGATATTCTGCGATGGAGGTGCGCCTTTCTAAACTGTTACCCGGTGTTGGACTTGTATTTGTGTGACTGTGTGAGCTGTTTGTGACCTAGCTTTTTAGCATTGTAGTTTTCCTTTTTGTGCCGTGGAGCCGTGGATGGCCCTCTACTTGCTGGCTGGGGGCTGGTGTTCCATGCCACTCAGCGCACTTGTACAAATTTGCTTTTCTACCTTAAGTGATTAGGCAGAGCTCCTGCCATTTCTTTCAAAAAAAAATGTTGGTGAGTTCAGAAGGGCATGTGCTATTGTGGGCCGTGGTCCATGGTTTCATGCAGTGACAGCAATCAGGACTGCATGATGAAGATGTGCACTGCATAATGTAGTACCATTTATAGTGTATTCTTTCCTGAAATATTATTTTTGATTGAGGCTGCTGTGCTCTGCAGCCCTAAAGATGATGCTGTGGAAAGTGACTCCAGCAGACATGTTGCATGTTGCAAAAGCCAGGTTATTGCCCATCTGTACCTGATAGACTGGCTTACAGGTTCATCTGAGGAACATAGAAATGCATCCCACATTCCTGCGGTGCAATGTCTGAACTTGGATTCTCTGGGTGGGAATGCGTTTGAGATAGCTTTCCTTCAGGTAATTTTCTTTCCTAGAATCCATTTTGCTGTGTTGATATAATCCGGATAGCTTGCGAGATGATATTTGTTCACGATAATGAGACAGTGAGTGTGGACATGGGTTCATGACTCTTTACTGGCGGATGATTTTGCTACTCTGTCACATTTTGCATTTCAGGTTATACTGAGAAATATCAATGGCTTTTCATGGAGGCTGCAGCCTATTTGGGCAATTGGGCCAGGCCTGGCAAGCTGAGTTGTGATGGAGCAGTTCTTGTAAGTCAGTTATAGCCTTATAATAGGTCAGGTAAATGATAATGTATCAGGAAATCAGTGCTTCCACACTATGGTTAAACGCTACAATCAATGGCAACCCTTCCTGTTTGTTTAACCTATATGGAGGAGGCGATGTCATTATCGTGAATTGGTGTGGGGTGTCCGGATATGAGAATCCCTCTGAGAAACAAAAGATGCTGCACCTGCACTGATGATGGTACCAGAGAGTACTGTGACTACTCTGTGTTGATGTACTGGACTTTGCCGGCGACTCCATTCTGGACCAAACATTCAAATTTGAGGATAGGAGGTCACGTTCCTCCTATACGATATTCGTTGTATGAGTGGGGTGTTGTACTACGCCATGACCTTGCATGTTGCTGCTGCGTCTGCCGTGCACCCTGAAAGCAACTAATATACTATTGCTTACCACCAACATGATCTGACGCTCTCTTCAGAGCTTTTCTTGAGAACTTATTTTGCAATTCAGAGAGCGTCAAATTCGTATTTGTCATGTTTGTTGCCCCTTGGTTTGTTATCAGCGGGCCTGAGCCCTGAGGATAGTAGTCGTGGCGAAATGGAGCCATCGGCGACCTGTATTATTTCGAGTCGTTAGTTGGTCACGGCAGGACGCTTACCCTGACGCTGAATGGCCGCAAAACCTGCTGGCTGCTACTGCCCCAGAATCCCAGGTCGCGGCGTTCTTTGGCTAAGCGCAGGGCGGGGCCAGGGGGTGGTGGCGTACACTCTCAGGTTACGTCGTACGACGACCAAGCAGTGCCACTGTGCCAGGTACAGTACTAGCAACGTGAGCTCTGCATGCATGATGTGCTCTGCCTAGTTTCGCACGGACCCGGTACATCTACACGGCAGTCGACAGCCACAAATAAAAAAAAAAATCATGCTGCCGATGGAGCCCCTTGCCTTACCTTTGCCCTTTGCCGTGGAAGGGGACGGGAGGAAAGAAAGGGCGACGGACGGGAGACCCGCGCGCATGCGAAGTTGCAAACGTGATGCGTCCCGGCCGCGCCGCGTCGGCGAGTGCATGCCGGCCGGCCCCCGCTCACCTGTTGCCAGGTCACTTGCGGTTGCGGTTGCGCTTTGCGCGTACCGGCGTGCGTGATGTTGGGGCACGCGATCCCGGCCGGCCCGTGGCGCGGAATTCATGGCCGCCTCCGCGCTCCGGGTTGCCGCACCGCACGACCTGCGTGGCACGAGCCGTCGTTCCTTGTTTGGCGACGCACGCGGTTCCGGCCCGGCGCGGCTCTGTGGGGAAGTGCTCCAACAAAGGCAATGCAAAGCGTGACAAGCAACGCCGTGGCTCGAGCGAGCGTCGTCCGTCGTCCGTACACGCGCTCAAGGTGTAGATGTACCGGACCGCTGCACTAGTGACATGGTCTCCTGGTCGATCAGTCTGTTCGTTTCTGGCGTTCGGTTAATATATAGGCCCGGCCAGCCGAGCGCGAGCCTGCTTGGCATGGCGTGGCGTGGCGTGCGTGCAAAACGCTCGATCGCCCGTCCGCGTGCTCCGTCTCTTAGGACCCCGCAGCACCTTCTTCCTCCTCCTCTCGTACCATCGACACCACCTCGCCAAGCCAAGCAGCGCGCAAAACCTCTCCCATCCGAGATCCTCTCTTCGGTCTCCTCGATCGTACGAGGTACTATACCATCCAATGATGCATGCATAGGGCAGGGGTCTTGTTCCTGCACGAATGCAGGGTGTAGTAGATAGTGCTTGTTTACGTTTCATGCCGAATGCATGCTTGTGTTGAGTCGATGGTGGTGAACCGTGCGTATCCATGTTTTTTTCCCTGATGAATTATGGATTTCTGATGCGGCGCAGTGCGTGCATGGATCAGCGGCCGCCGGAGCGCAAGGCGAAGCGCGCGAGGGAGGAGGACGTCCATGCCGCGCCGCTGGACTTCCCCTTCGAGGAGGCCGCGGCCGCGGCGGGTGCGGGGGCGTTGGGCGACGTCATCGGGGAGGCGTCGCGGCGGCCGCCGGGGGTGTTCCAGTTCCCCTGGCAGAAGTGCCGGGGCGGGCTGGGCGTGTCCGCCTCCGCCGCGGCGGGGTCGTCGTCGTGGGAGCTGCGCGACGTCTTCTTCCGCTCCCTCGTCGACGGGGGCGCCGCGGCCATCGGCGTGCCGGGGGACCGGCTGGTGTCGCCGCCGCCCGGCAGGCGCGCGCTCCTCGACGGCGTCGACGCGTGGCTCGCCGCGGCCGCCGACGACGGCGAGGTGGACCCGGTCTGGCGGTCCGCGCTAGCTCATGGCCCGCGGCGGGTCGGCGAGGATGACGACGGACATGGGCCCGCCCCGCGCATGCTTCGCGGTCGCGGGTGAGCCCCGCGTGGCATTGAGTGCGCTGCGGCGCCCCTCCATCATCAGCCGCGTGACGCTGACGTGGCTCCAGGCAGCGCTGTGGGGGACCGCCGTGGATGCTGATATGATGATCAGGATGGAGTAGGCAAAACCGCAAAAGGACCAAAGAGAAGTGTAGAGAACCATCAGCATGTTCGGGGGTCGTATCGTATCGTGGATTATTTACTGCTGGCTGGTTTGGTATGAGAGAAAAATACTGTTCTCGGCTGGAAATTTATGATCATTTACGAGCAAGCGAACAGGCTGCATGGCCATTGGGTGATCCTTGTTTTCCAATGTCCTTTTCTGCTCCTTGTTCTATTTTATTTGTACAGTTATCATTAGACATTCTGGCAAAAAGAGTACTGTATTATTTGGGAAATCATTCCAGAAACAACCCCGATTTCCACGAAGGGAAATCCACATAGTCGAAGTGTAATAAGACCGTTGTAGATCATATTACCCAAATTCCAGTCGAATATCACATCCATACAACGATAATATCAGAGTTCAAATAGTGCAGAATACATAAATTATTACATCGCTGCATTGGCGGAATCAAAAGTAGCATTCATTCAGAACAGCTTGAAGATAAGATCGTCAAACTCGAGCGTAGACACGAACCCTCAACTCATTCAAACTCCTCGGAGCTATACTCCTCAGCGAACTCAGTGTGCCAAAATTTATCGAGTCGATTTGTCTTGGCCACTCCCAACCCTATGAGCATTGCTTTGCTGCTTGAAATTGGATGCAAGTTGGATATAATCAAAAAGAACCTATAAGGCTGGGGTTTCCTATGTATTAGCATATCAAGTACCTAATAATAGTTGGTCAAGTTTTAACACCGTTATCAAAACATTCCACCCCATTTCCCATTCCCGAGCCAGGTTTCGATCCTGGGATCGATATACCACCATCTCCACACCATCATCATACCACACCCATACCATCGCTCAGTCGACATGCCAACTTCCTCTCGGCACTGTCTCAAGGCCCGTAGCCCCTGGCTACGTCCGAACTCTCATTCCAGGAGGAGAAGAGAATGACTCATCTCTCTATCTAGTTTAAGCGAAACCCAGAAAAGGTCAATAGCCGACAAGTCGGCATATGTATCGATCGATCAACCATACACTCTGCAGAGGTTTTACATAACCACAAGATCCGCCTTCCTTCTCGTGATCAAAATCGTGGCAGCCAATGATTCCGCCGCTTGCTAGCCTAGGATAATGCCACTCTACCATTCGACCTGGTACACCCCAAGTCTAGTCCAGGGGGTCAAACTGTGAGTCATGAGCCGGGTCCACAAGGTCTCCATGAAGTCTCGAAAGGGTGTGGGGAAAATCCTCCGCGCCCCGTACCTCCTTACACTGTCCGCTACTAACCTAGCAGTAGTGGCAATATCCTACCAAGTAGTTCGGCCGTCCCGCACCATATAGGGCGAGTGGTACGTAAGGCTTCCCGGTGAATC